TTGTAAGAATCAGGGGTCATTGGAGCATTTTATTTTTCAATCAGAAAAAAGTGCACAATGCGGGAATCGAACCTGGTGGGTCTTAGCGGTCGAAAACCAACGGCTTAGACAATCCTTCCACCGACCCCCCACCACTGAATATAAATACACCCAACGATTCTTTTCCATTCTTGCTAGTATTAAAATAATGTAGAATTGATTTCAAGATGTGTGGATATATGGTGAGCTACACTATAGAGGAATTAACCATGATTAACATATTCTATAGACATATACTGTGATCCTATAAACATTTACTGTGAGAGGAAAGCCTGGAGAAATCCTTTATCTATAATAGATAAGAGATTGGTTGCGGGGAAGGAATTAGATGAAGACCCAGATTAAGATAGACTGATCAAAATGGACAAATCATCAGAATAAAACTGGAAGAAACTAGAAAGATGATAATAGATAGAAAAAGAAGGACTCATCAAAATGAACATATCAACGAACTGACACTAGACGAAACAAAAAAGCTGGTAGTACATAGAATAAAAAGTTGGACTGATCAATATGAACAAATCAACGGACTAACCCTGGAAGAAACTAGAAAGCTGGTAGTAGATAGAAAAAGATGGACTTATCAAAATGGATAAATCACAGGACTGACACTGGAAGAAACAGAAAGATGATAGTATATCGAAGATGAACCGATCAAAATAGACAAATCCCCGGACTGACACTGGAAGAAACAGAAAGATGATAGTATATCGAAGATGAACTGATCAAAATGAACAAATCATCAGACTGACCCTGGAAGAAACAGGAAATCGGTAGTAGATAGAAAATGTTGGACTAAACTAAATATACAAATCAATGAACTGACCCTGGAAGAAACAAGAAAGCTGGTAGTAGATAGAAGTAAAATAAGGACTTATCAAAATGGACAAAACAATGAACTGACCCTGGAAGAAACAGGAAATCGGTAGTAGATAGAAAATGTTGGACTAAACTAAATAGACAAATCAATGAACTGACCCTGGAAGAAACAAGAAAGCTGGTAGTAGATAGAAGTAAAATAAGGACTTATCAAAATGGACAAATCAACGAACTGACCCTGGAAGAAACAAGAAAGCTGGTGTAGATAGAAGTAAAAGGACTTATCAAAATGGACAAATCAATGAGCTGACCCTGGAAGAAACAGAAAATCGGTAGTATATAGAAAATGTTGGACTAAACTAAATAGACAAATCAATGAACTGACCCTGGAAGAAACAAGAAAGCTGGTAGTAGATAGAAGGAGATGGTGAACGCTGCACGATTTTGCGTGCCATCCTTGCGTAGGGGCCATGTTAATCTTCTCTGTAATCGTTCCAATTTTGGTAGTTGTACAGTGGAACAAGGAGATGGAGAGAGTTCATCGGTGAATGTACGATAACGAAGTATTGTAGGAAACAGAAATGTATTAATGTTTGGTGGTGTAGCGGTGTGGGGCTGTATGGAACGGACAGGAGGCTGTGGGGCAATGTTACAACGTGGACCACCCGCCCAGGATGTGGCTCTCTCCGGCCATCAACCCTCTGGCCTAGTTATGGCAGCAGCGAGGTGGTGTTTGTACATCCCACCTGTTTCACTGGTGGTCTTCCTTCTGGGTCTCTGTTTACTGTACTTGTTCATTCCTGTTGTACAATCACTTCTATGGATCTGTTTTCTGTGTTTGTACATCCCACCTGTTTCACTGGTGGTCTTCCTTCTGGGTCTCTGTTTACTGTACTTGTTCATTCCTGTTGTACAATCACTCCTATGTGTCTGTTTTCTGTGTTTGTACATCCCACCTGCTTCACTGGTGGTCTTCCTTCTTGGTCTCTGTTTACTGTACTTGTTCATTCCTGTTGTCCAGTCACTTCTATGGATCTGTTTTCTGTGTTTGTACATCTCACCTGTTTCACTGGTGGTCTTCCTTCTGGGTCTCTGTTTACTGTACTTGTTCATTCCTGTTGTCTAGTTACTTCTATGTGTCTGTTTTCTGTGTTTGTACAGTCCACCTGTTTCACTGGTGGTCTTCCTTCTGGGTCTCTGTTTACTGTACTTGCTCATTCCTGTTGTCCAGTCACTTCTATGGATCTGTTTCTGTGTTTGTACATCCCACCTGTTTCACTGGTGGTCTTCCTTCTGGGTCTCTGTTTACTGTACTTGTTCATTCCTGTTGTCCAGTCACTTCTATGAAACTGTTTTCTGTGTTTGTACATCCCACCTGTTTCACTGGTGGTCTTCCTTCTGGGTCTCTGTTTACTGTACTTGTTCATTCCTGTTGTCCAGTCACTTCTATGTATCTGTTTTCTGTGTTTGTACATCCCACCTGTTTCACTGGTGGTCTTCCTTCTGGGTCTCTGTTTACTGTACTTGTTCATTCCTGTTGTCCAGTCACTTCTATGGATCTGTTTTCTGTGTTTGTACATCCCACCTGTTTCACTGGTGGTCTTCCTTCTGGGTCTCTGTTTACTGTACTTGTTCATTCCTGTTGTCCAGTCATTTCTATGGATCTGTTTTCTGTGTTTGTACATCCCACCTGTTTCACTGGTGGTCTTCCTTCTGGGTCTCTGTTTACTGTACTTGTTCATTCCTGTTGTCCAGTCACTTCTATGTATCTGTTTTCTGTGTTTGTACATCCCACCTGTTTCACTGGTGGTCTTCCTTCTGGGTCTCTGTTTACTGTACTTGTTCATTCCTGTTGTCCAATCACTTCTATGGATCTATTTTCTGTGTTTGTATATCCCACCTGTTTCATTGGTGGTCTTCCTTCTGGGTCTCTGTTTACTGTACTTGTTCATTTCTGTTGTACAATCACTTCTATGGATCTGTTTTCTATGTTTGTACATCTCACCTGCACTGTTTCACTGGTGGTTTATACATCTCCGATCTTCCTTCTAGGTCTCTGTTTACTGTACTTGTTCATTCCTGTTGTCCAATCACTTCTACGGATCTGTTTTCTGTGTTTGTACATCCCACCTGTTTCACTGGTGGTCTTCCTTCTGAGTCTCTGTTTACTGTACTTGTTCATTCCTGTTGTCCCGTCACTTCTATGGATCTGTTTTCTGTGTTTGTACATCCCACCTGTTTCACTGGTGGTCTTCCTTCTGGGTCGTCTCTGTTTACTGTACTTGTTCATTCCTGTTGTCCAGTCACTTCTATGGATCTGTTTTCTATGTTTGTACATCCCACCTGTTTCACTAGTGGTCTTCCTTCTGGGTCTCTGTTTACTGTACTTGTTCATTCCTGTTGTCTAGTTACTTCTATGTGTCTGTTTTCTGTGTTTGTACATCCCACCTGTTTCACTGGTGGTCTTCCTTCTGGGTCTCTGTTTACTGTACTTGTTCATTCCTGTTGTCCAGTCACTTCTATGTGTCTGTTTTCTGTGTTTGTACATCCCACCTGTTTCACTGGTGGTCTTCCTTCTGGGTCTCTGTTTACTGTACTTGTTCATTCCTGTTGTCCAATCACTTCTATGGATCTATTTTCTGTGTTTGTATATCCCACCTGTTTCATTGGTGGTCTTCCTTCTGGGTCTCTGTTTACTGTACTTGTTCATTCCTGTTGTCCAGTCACTTCTATGAAACTGTTTTCTGTGTTTGTACATCCCACCTGTTTCACTGGTGGTCTTCCTTCTGGGTCTCTGTTTACTGTACTTGTTCATTCCTGTTGTCCAGTCACTTCTATGTGTCTGTTTTCTGTTTTGTACATCCCACCTGTCTCACTGGTGGTCTTCCCTCTGGGTCTCCTTACTGCACTGTTTCACTGGTGGTTTATACATCTCCATCTTCCTTCTGGGTCTCTGTTTACTGTACTTGTTCATTCCTGTTGTTCAGTCACTTCTATGGATCTGTTTTCTGTGTTTGTACATCCCACCTGTTTCACTGGTGGTCTTCCTTCTGGGTCGTCTCTGTTTACTGTACTTGTTCATTCCTGTTGTCCAGTCACTTCTATGGATCTGTTTTCTGTGTTTGTACATCCCACCTGTTTCACTGGTGGTCTTCCTTCTGGGTCTCTGTTTACAGTACTTGTTCATTTCTCTTGTCCAGTCACTTCTATGAATCTATTTTCTGTGTTTTTGCATTCCACCTGCACTGTTTCACTGGTGGTTTATACATCTCCGATCTTCCTTCTGGGTCTCTGTTTACAGTACTTGTTCATTCCTGTTGTCCAGTCACTTCTATAGATCTGTTTTCTGTGTTTGTACATATCATGTAGTCTACCTGCACTTCTCTGATATCTATTTACTGGGGTTTGCCCATTTCCGATGTTACTTTCATCTCTGGGTTTCAGTTTACAGTCTTCTTCTTTCTTTGACCGTTGGCGGTTTATAGTACTTATTCATTTTTTTTTGTTCACAATCACTTCTATGAATCTATTTTATATGTTTCTATATCCCAGGTAGCATACCTGCACTTCTATGATATCTCTTTACTGGAGTTTGCCCATTTCCTATGTTCCTTTCATGTTTTGGTTGTTGTCGCTAAAATGGAGTTACCCCTGTTCTCCGCATCACCAATATTTACCAGTAAAAAGACACCTCTGTGTCGAATATGAATTATTTATTATTTTACATGACGCTAAGGTAAATAAATAAAAAGGGTTAGATTCTACACTAGTATAGACGTACCCTTTTGACGTTTGTGTAAATATTGAGCGAGATGTGGTATCAAATTTTATCACAAAAAAAAGTTTTTATCTGGGGTTGAACCCAAGCTCTCTGATGTACCAAACTACTCACCAATAATGGTAGACCAAAACTGTAAGATGATTCAATTTTATACCAAATATTTTTATTCAATATACGATTGAAGTTTTGCAATACACACTTATATTAAGAGTCAAAGGTTAGCCAACAATGAGTGTTTTTTTATTAATTCTTTGAAAGTTTATTTTTCTCCTCAGCTATAGAATTGCCATATACAGCTATATATTGTATGAAGTATGAAAGGATGAATTATGAATAGTAATGATAAACGGAAAAATAAAGTATCCAGGGATGGGAATCGAACCCACAGTGTTCAGCTTACCGGGCAGATGCCATGTCCACTAAGCTACCCTGGACATATATATTGTAGATGGCGCGTTATTGTCTTATAATTAATTTTATAAACTTTTAATCTTGTATGCAAATAAGCCCATTAAGGAGTTTTTAGTTCGAAATTTAGTTATCAGAACAAGTTTTGATCGCTCTGTCATTGAGAGAGAATACCGTTTGGTTCTTAATTTGCACGACCGACTTGACTCTAACACGGAATTAGCACGACTCACTAATTGATCCACTTTATTAGTTTTAGATATCTTATTTACATATTTACAAGAAATGAATTTATGCGATCTGTTTCGCCTACTTAGGCGCAAAGAGTTAAGTGTCTTTGAAAAACACTATTAAAAGATTTCCAAATTTTTTACAGACTAATATTTGACTCTTAATAGATATTTAGAATTTTAAAATATTTTTCTATGATTTAGGGTATATATATATTAATAGTTTATTATCATATTATATATTGTTGCACCAAGTTGCAGCTTTGCAGGACCGTCGACCTTGGTTTCTTCCTTCTTGGTGTTATACACGTTTCTCGAGCGGGTTTCCTTATTCAAAGCAAATAAATAAAAGTAAAAGTAAATAAATAAAAATTAAATAAAAATAAATTACCTTTTAAAGTTATTGTGTTTATTTATTCGTTGTCTTCCTCGTAGGTCGTGATCCGCAGTCTTTCCCTAGGTCCTCTCTCTCTCCAATAACCAATCAAGATAAATGTACAATAGCAATATTACAAAAGGAATGAAACTATAAAAAGGAATGATGATTATCTCTAAATAATCTGTTTTAAATGATATTTTGAATAAATGTAGGGCGCATTGAAGCAACAATATTATCATAAAATGTGTTGAATGATCAACTACAGAGAAGCGATATAAAGTTAAAAATATTTTTTGGCAACCAATAATTTGCATATTAGCAACAATTTTGCGATGAATTCTACCCAGGCTTGTATAGTTGAGAACGTATTTTTATAATAATTATCGTTTTCCATAGAATGAATGATTTCACAGATCAAATGAGAATGTCCATTCTATGAATGAAGACAAAACGATACAGAGAAAATCTATTAACGAAGCCACGGATTCCCAGTAATGTAGATGAAATAATAAACTAAGCATTTCCCGACTAAAATACAGTCACTAAATGGACTGAAGTTTTAAAAAATACACCCATACCTCGCTTTGCGTCGGGGTTACGTTCCAAAAAAACACGACGCAAATTGAAAATATGTGAAGGCGCAATCAAAGACAAAGGTGTTGCCATATTTTAGGAAAAAAATAATAAAAAATAAAAGACTCGAATCCAAAACAACGCAACTTCGAAAATCTAACGACGCACAGTGAAAATCAGTAAAAATTAAGTAGCGACGAAACTTAGAAAAAAACGCAAAACGAAACGACGCAAAGCGAGGTATTGGTGTACACAATTCTAAATAGATCAATCTAAAAAAGAGTGGTGCTGATTGTAAGCTGACATCCATCTTGGATAAAACCCAACGATTATGTACGTGATCATATCAAAGACTAAAGAAAAAGAATACAAAGAAGAACAGAAATGCATAAGCATTGTACGAAGTGGTATCTTTTTAGGCAAATGTTCCAGATTCCTATATGCATTATATGCAGATAAGGTTGTGCAAATTCAACAAGGATTTGAGGTCACGAACTAGCAATGTATGCAAATTATGGAATGATTCAGGTCTACTTTTGCACAAAAAAAAAGCAACATTTTCTACTTGATTTTCCCTTCTTGTATCATTATGGTCTAAAAATGGTAAAATCAACCATCACATCAATTTGTCCATTCTGTGGGAAAGAAGTATTGATGTTCTAAATGGCGGGATGGTGACTGGTGAAGTAGAATGTATCTGCTTTTGTCATTAAGACTGGGAGCACTACTCAGTGGCAGGCCGACTTAGCTCCAATATGAAATGTCCGCTTCTGACACGAGGAACAGACGCTATGTGCAGCCGCTTCTGACATGGAATACAGATAATGCTCATCTTGTATCTCTGGATCGGGAGTCCTTACAGGGTACTATAAGTTTCTCCAGCTAAGCCTAGGTTTTTTTAGCGAGCTTGTTACTGCTCCCTCTCCTTCTTTTTAATCAAAATGGCAAAGACTTCTCTGTGCCTTAACTTAAATGGATTCTGAGGACCAATTCATGCTACTGTTATCGATTAAGATATTTCCGAAGAGTTCTTATGTTGTTAAGTCTATGCATTCTTCAATATCATCCAGTTACTCTTTTCGGGGCCTTCCTCTTTCACACCCATCTACCTCATAGATGCACTGGTGTCAGTAATGGGAAACAGTCTCTTCATACAATATGTTCCAAGTAGGAGGTCTTACGTCGTAATAGACAATATGATAATTAAAATAATTTTATTGACATCTTGTCAATACATGCAAAGTACACAGTCTGCATTATTTTAAAAAAAGATAATATGGATTATTACACTATGTATAATGAATATGGCGCCTTTGCCAGCGCTGCAGAGTTTGGTAGAGAATCACCAGCGGGTCTCCAGCGACACCACGCATTTCGCGATCGACAAAGAATACGTAGATCGCGTACTTCGCCGCTAAGGAGATGGTGATGGCGTGGTCCTCGAGACCAACGTCGTAATAGAGTAGTGAAATGATTTCTTTTTTATTTGCATCGATTAAGAACCCCGTTATTTTCAATTCTTTGATTTCATAATGTATTTTTCTTGATATTCTCTTTTAAAAAACGCTGAAATACAATAAATAAATAATGAAGGTGTAAAACAGCATGTATATAAAGGTCATCTCCAACGCTTTCTCAAGTGATTGATAAATGAGAGTTGGTATCTAATTATTCAAACCAATTAGTATAATTAAAATTAAATTGAGGTCATTCAGTGGTCTGGAAGGGAATAGCAATAGAATGTGTTCTTAATTACGAACTTAAAAAAAAAAGCTTACCTCGGGACATAATAATAACATATATACATATATAAATACAATATATATAACATATAATACACGCAACACATATATAATATACACAACAGTATAAATCACACATTTACACAATACACAAACTTACAATACACACAACATACACGTCTTCTTCTTCTTTCTTATCTCCACTCAATCATATTAGGGTGTCAAGCTTGTAAAGCTTGATACTTTTGATGGTGTCTGTTAATAACCATCATGATTGGGTGAAGTAGAATGCGTCTGCCTTTGTCATTAAGACTGGGAGCACTACTCAGTGGCAGGCCGACTTAGCTCTAAAATGCTCTGAATAGCTCTGACATGAGGAAGAGACGCCATGTGCAGCCACTCCTAACATGGAGTACAAACTCATCCTGTATCCCTGGATCAGGAGTCCTTACAGGGTACTATCAGCCGAGCCATCTGAACCCAGTTTTTTTAACGAGCTTGTTTCTGCTCCCCCTCCTCCTTTTTTATCCGGGCTTGGGACCGTAATGCACAAACAATCTATAACTATATACACTCCATAAACAACTCACATACAGTTCCCTAAAGGTAAATTCCTATGTTATAAAGATATGGAAGGCTCTCTGTTGAAGTCAATGATATGGTTTGAGTTGAAACTCAATCAAGAATGGGTATTTGGCCAATTCCGGAATAATTAAAAATCAACGAATTATTGATATTTATTCCAACAGGTGGCACAAGCCATCAGCAACTTTTAGTTACCTGATCCAAGTAAAATTTCCCTTTTTGGAGACGCCGGTTATGTAAATTTCTCTCTTTTTTGCATATTCAGCCAGAAGATTTACATATTTGTAAATATAATTCTGTATATAAGGATGTGAAAGTTTAATAAAGGTGTGTCAGTTATAAATCGGGTGTTGGTGAATTATTAGTGTCATCAGGATGTTGTGGGCACTTTTAAGGAAACAAATAGGCTTCGGTTGGAGACCAGAAGAAGTCTGGCAAGAAGATACAGTCAAGCTCTGCCACAACTATTTAGATAAGACCAGACATATCCAGGATGCGGCAAGCTTTCCGAGCTTAGTAAGTGAGGCAGTGATCGCATCCGAAACACTTTTGAATATATTTTTTTTCAAGATGATGATGTTGATTCATATATAGTCGAAGATAGAGGTTGCTTGACCGGTATTCATAGTTCTTAGAAGTAAGAGACACTCGGCCAGTAAATATTTACCAGTAAAGATTTACTGGTCGAGAATTATTTATTAATTCTAAGAAATATTTATCGAAGGATTGTCTTGAGAATTACCAAGGTAGGATCCGTTAGTACGATGGGTGGATGTACCGACAAACAAACGCAGGCCGAGCGTGAACGTCGCGTGGGTGTTCCAGTACAACGCTCTTCCGCGGAAGATGGGATCTACCGTGACAATTGGAACGGCACAAGGATTCTCCCGGAAGATTCGATCCTGAAGATTTGAATTGTATCTACACAGGGATCGTTTTACAGAACATGTTCGCTTGTTCCTAATTGGTGAAATCTCTACAAGATGTCGCCGGTCATCTTTTTTGAAGGAGATAGAAGCAATTTTGTTCACACTTGGTTATCTCGTGTGTCTTCAATAAAGTTCACTGTGTGTCAAAACACTTTCAGAGTTATTGTCTGAATCCCGTTATACATGGTAAAAGGTACAACTTTCTTAAGTTTTATCCATGAGTGTATATAGTGTGTCTTCAATAAAGGTCACTGGGTATCAAATATCTTTCAGAGTTATTGTCTGAATCTGATACATGCTAAACGGTACAACTTCCTTAAGTTATGTCCATAAGTGTAGTTGAGATACATCTAGAATATTTAGGACGATGTGTGGATCTACAAATAACTTTTTCTTTTGCAAATATTTTTTGAAAAAGGCACTGGGAATTACACGAAAGAATCGATCCTTAAGATTTGGTACACATAGAAATCATTTGATTGAGTAATGTTCACTTATTCCTAATTTGTAGATCATTCTATGGTTCTATGTAGTTAATATCTATATAAATATTTAGATTGCACCCATAAATAGCTGATTCATTTCTAA